TCGATATTTATATTTAAAAACAAACTAAGATCATTTCTCATTTGTATCTTCTTAAATCTCAAATAAAACTAAGCATCTTTTGCTCTTGAAAAATCAAGGATGAAGAATCAACCTTCAAAAAACATCCACGCGACGTTATATTTAATCAACCGTCCCTTATATACTGGAATTTAAATCGAATCGTAATCTCGACAAATACACCGTTACATATGTAAGCGCCAGTGCGAATCAAGAAATCGGTGTAGAGAACCTGTGCATACACACGACGAGGAATTAAACGAGGAGATGATCGCAGACGAGGCAAATCCTAGGAATCTAACGACCGTCTCGACATATTTTACAGCTGTGCGAATCGCTTTCTGGATCCGGTTAATTCCTTGGGACTAAGAACGTGGAATACAGACGAAGCGTATCTTCCCCGCGCGATTGTCGTGGGTACGAATCGTAGTCGGAGAATTCGTCAAAATACAAAATTACAAAAATATACTCGTGGCGCCGTACCAACCAGTCGTGCCACGCTTGCTTCGTACGTGCCTACATTTACATATAAACAACGTCGTGAATTAGCGTGCAATTAAGGTCCTTGTGTATTTACAGGGCGTGGCACAACAATTGGATCGGACAAGCCGCGACTCTGCTAGGCCGCTTAAAATAATTCGCGACGATTCGTTCGTGTAATCTCGCTTCCGGTCGATTGTGGTGATCTTTGTGCGAAGAAGCGTTCGAGATCATTCATCGGAAATTTTCGTACACATTCCTGGTTTCCTTATTCGTTCGATTTTCAAGTGTTAGAGATTTTACGTAACAAATCTCCAATGTTGTAAGTGATTACTGATTACCATCTTAGGGACTTTTAATTTGAAGTTGAAATAGGAAACATTTATATACATAAATGATTTTTGAGGATAGTGTGAAATTAGATTTAACGTTTACAGATAATTGCGTTCGTGGAAAGTGAAGTTTATCGGAACGAAAATAATAGAAATAATTGAAGAGTGTAATTGTTTTAAAAAATGAAAGGAGAAAATGATTCTTATTTTCTGTTACAACTCTTCCTTCGATTAATCCCTACAACGTGAATTACAGCATCGCAATCCTCTATTCACAAAGTTCAACATCTATTATCTAACAAGTACGAGTAAAACACACAAATTTCTTCTCCGTTAAATTTTCTCCTTAGAAAGGTTCTCAAAGACTATTCGTAGTAAATTCTTACTTTCAGAACAACTAGTAAGAGATAACTGTACATTGGCACCTATTTTATATTAACTTCTCTTCTTGCTCTCCTTTTAAGAATATTACGTTAATAGATTGTATATTTGTTAAAACGTAGCTGAGGAAACGAAGTTACACGATCGTGCCGCGATTTTCTCCGCGCCGTCCCATCGGCATCGCATCATCGTCCTTAGATTCGTTTCGTAATACTGTTAGGTGCGTTATGACGCTCGGGGAAGATATTTCGTCGCTATCACGACGAAACCCTTTGTTTCATAAATTGACACGTCATTATTATTACCCAAGTAGTTGTAAAGAAGAATAAGACTTCTTTCTTCAAATATGTATATAAAGAATCGTACCTTCTATTTGACTGAAAATAGATAAAGTGATAGAAAAAGAGTTGGCAAAATTTATCTCGAAAATTTATTATTCCGCTCTTTTAGCAATTATAATAGCATATAACGTCTGATCTTTCAGATACGATATCATTTTTTTGTTGCAAGTGAAGTCTTTTGAATATTTAACACATAGCAAAGAACGTTAATATGGTTTAAAATGTTCTTAGTCGAGCTCGGTTCTTTTTATCGTATTTATCTTTATTTGACGTTATTTAACTTTATGAAAATTATCGTATAAAATAATAATTACGAATAGTTTGTAGTTTTGTAATTGGAACATTCTGGAAAAATTATTTTAATACAATACTCGAGGGATTAGTTTGATTAAACAAAAGTATGCGTCTTCCTGTTTCAAGCAAAAGACAGAATATGAAAATAATTCATTCCACTCAACATTTTTCTCTTCCATTTATACTATTTTCAAACAAACAGAACGTTCAAATCTTTCCAATTACGTGACACATCCTGTGCTTTTAACAAACAAACTCAGGTTATAATGCGCAAGCTATGTTGCTTTAAATAATTAAAAGATCGCTTTCAGAGAGGAAAAATCCAGTGAAGAAAGGTCCACAAAAGTAAATGCTTGTTCGTTGTAAATTCAGAATTAACGAATGCTTTATGAAAAAATAAAGCCGCTCGAAACCGTTTAATTATCTTGAAGCGTTTCCTGGTGCTTGGAAGATTCGTTGAGAAAACGGGAAGCCTGTTAGGAATATTCAAAGTCGTTGAAGGGACTCTTCCGTTAGAACTAGCGTTACAGGATGAGGACTCGTGTGTTCGCAACAAGTTGCGTGAACGATCGATCCCTAAATCCTCGCCAAAGTCGGGAATGCAACGTTAAGCTCCGGATAAAGCGTACAGAAAGTATAACGAGTTCGTGTAGCTTACGAGCGATAAACGTTTAGTCCAAGAATGATCCTTTCTATATATCTGTAAGGCCATTAGAATACTGAATCGGCTAAAAATGTTTGCCTTTCGGTCATGTTGCATTTCGTTTGACACGCGAAACAGATCGATGGCCGGAAAGTATCGCGAATTTTCCCAAAACTCGAGGAACCTATACGAAGGACGTAATCGAAGCTATCGAAGTTCGATGATAAGGAAGTTTGAGTCACGTGTTCTATGGAGCCGGAAGAAATAATTCACGATCAATCGCTTTGAATGTACAGCTTCTTTTCCTCGTACACTTTTTTAAATTAAATCTGTTAATTAAACGCGAATCGTATATGCAGTTCTTCGTGTTTTACGTATACGACAGTTTTTTTTTCGTTAGTTCTAAGATCGATTTACGTTGTATCCCTAACTCAAGGATTAGACGCGCCTTGCTTTCACGTGTCGCCATTTCCATTCTTTTTCAAAGAAATTTTCGTGCAGAATCACTTGTTTCACGTACGGTTCGGCGAAACCTTAGTCAGATCGAACCATTAGAGGATAGACGAGCTATTTCTTAAGTAGTATAATACACATTGTATGTACAAGCTGTACGATGATTTCTTTTTACAACATACATTCGGCGATTCGCCAGAAAAAAATGCACGTACACTGAGATCTCTCTTCGTAGATACGAAGTAGCATGGCCTTGCGCAAATATTAAAATATTTCTGAGTAGTTTCGAGGGACGAGAATAATATGAATTTGATCACGGTATCTTATAACGTCGATCGTGTAAACCGCGCCATTACTCTCGAGAAAATCCATAGGACCGATCTTTTCATACCGATTTACGACCTCGTAACACTCAGATTGAAACATCTGTGATATTTTACCATTAACAACGAATATAATCGGAAGATTTTACGTATGCGTTTCTCTCAACATTACTAGAAACAGTTATTCTAACATCTCCGTTACTTGAATACGTTTTCTTTTACATAGTGCGGAACCATGCACATGGTTTCCCGTGCGTTACTCTTAATTCCGATTTATATATCGCTAAAACAGATACCGGTTCGATGCGGTCAAGTACCAATGCGTAATATGTAATATGTAATTAAAACAATAAAGAAACATAATCTTAAACCTAAGAGAAGTAGAAAACCAAAGCATCGTTTTGCACTTCCTTTAAGGATAAAAAAGGACAATAACAAAGTCGAAATATCGTGTAAAAATGATCGATAGCACAATACACATCGACAGAAGTACAAAATTTAAATAATAATAATAAAAAAAGGGGAAATATATAGAAATAATAAAAATTAAGAGGTATCGATCACATGATCGTTTCGCAAATAGATCGTATAAAAGAACGCATCGTTTCACGATGCTGCGGTTTGAACGCGATCTTCGTTAGGCATGCAACAAGCACGTCAATAAATAAGACGAACGTCTCCATATGGAGACATTATCCTTAATGCTAATGTCCGGTTACGTTGTATTTTACATGAATTCTGTCTATGATCGTCCGTAAACGGCACAACCCGCTATCCACTAATTTTCTCGTTACACGTAGTAAAACCAGTCACGAGCGTTCGTGGCGTTTTGTTGTATCCATCGTATCGTCGAGATTGTTTCTTCCAAAAAAAAACGTTTCATCGAACGTTCCTCCCCGAAATTGTAAAACGATCTTGAAAGACATAGTCGATTTTCGATCAATCGCTTCGACACATTTCTCGTTATTCGCGTTATCCACCGTTGCGTCGACCTATGTAGAGAATCCGTGTGTCGATCTCACGAATCACATAATATATGCTTGTCCTCCACGCGATCGGAAACCCTGTCATGTGCCGCGAACCGAATAAATTATAAAATACATAAAAAGATACAGAGAGGATACACGATGAACAAAGAAAGAATAACCGGCAAAGGCGTCTCGTCCGAAAAATTTTGCTGGTGTTTCTCCGCCAAAGTCAGCGGTTTACCCGACGAACCATGTTCACCGGATGTGGAAGCCCCCGGCACGCTCGTTCGTCAGCACGTTCGCCGGCGGAACTTACGCGCTCCAACCGAATATCGACCCGCCGCGCATC